TAGGAACAGCATATAAAGAAGAGCACTCTGAAAATAATGTCTGTTGAAAAAACTACCGGATTGATGAATGCGTTCTTCCTGCTGAAAATGAAAATCAGACAAGGTATTTGTGACATCACTAATATGCACATTGAAATAAGTTGACAAAAAGTATGTCCCATTCTGTATGAATCGGACTCAAATATTGGTGGAATGATCCCTAAGAATTTGCCTACTTTGCATAGCTTCAACACTATACTCATTTCGCTAGATATGGGGCCCTCCAGAAGCTGCATGGTAGGGTTCACAGTAACGTCAGCGAATGAATGCAAATGAAACGCCTAAACTTAGAATGCAATTGTTTTTGTTAGACCAACCTTTGAATGCAAAGAGCAATTTTATGACTAACCATTAGCTTTAAGGTCTGAAAAACCTACTAACGATCCATGCGCTCCATAATGATTATAAAAGCCACGTATATTTATGAGCTACAGAATGGAGCACATTGATAAGACGTACTTTAAGGTCACATTTTTTCACATCTCTTGAAGATTGCCGTTTTTGACGACTACGAGCCCCCTCCCACTTCAGTTGGCCCACTTCAAGATTTGTACCGAAATATGCCTTTATAAACTAAACATGGCGAAACTATTTACTTCTAAAACAATTTATTTTCTCTAAAACATTTTAGATACGCTCTAGTCGTAAAAAATACATATTTGAAATCACTTAGACCTATAACTAATAGAACATCTGAACAAATAAACAATGTGCGAATAAATGCCCAAAGTTAACAAAGCAACAATTGAAAGATTACCATTGGGTAACATCACCTTCATTTTTTATTACGGCTGAAATTCTTTGGGGCATAGTGTTAACCAAGTTTTGGCAAAAATTTGGTGTAAAACAATCCCATATTTCTTGAAGCTTTTGTCTCAGTTCGGTGATTGTACGAGCAGGATGTTGTCGTAGAACCTTTTTCATTTCGTGCCACAAAGTTTCAATAGGTGACAGATCTGGACTGCTAGAAACCCATTTCAAAAGTGGTACAATATCTTCTTCCATACATTTTATAGCCTTTTTTGAGGTATAGCACGCTGCACCATCTTGCTGAAACACAAAATCTTGGCCGGATGTCAAACATTCTTCCACCACTGGTAAAAGCGATTCTTCTAAAATTGCCAAATATTTGTTTGTATCCACATTTCCATCAATAAAATGAAGTTTTCCTACTCCTTTTGATGACATACTGCCCCAAACCATAAAGGATGCTGGAAATTTCACTTTTCTCTTCAGACAGTTAACATGGAATGCTTCATTTTTTTGCGAATAACTCTACTGCGACTGTCACCAACACACACTTCGAATCGGGCCTCATCACGCCATTGTATTGCACACCATTGTTGAGGTGTCCATTGTCTATGTTCTTTAGCCCAACTAAGCCGATTTTTCTTTTGCAGTGGAGTTAATAGTGGCTTTTCTTTGGCCTATAAGCAAGTTGTGGAACTTTAGGCTTTTTTCTTCACTTTTTTTTATAAGAAAACATACCTTGCAAGTGCTAAATCCCAGTTTGTGGGCCTCTCTATGAGTTGTGGACCTCGAAATTCTCCTTCCAACAGCGTCACTCCACAGAGCACTTAATTGTAAATAATTGGCACGCCTGTCTTTCACTATTTTTTTCATTATTCTTCTTAATGCTATTCGGTCGGCATTTGTGATACTACTTTTTTTCATGTCGTGGCTTAATATTAACTGAACCAGTTACGTTATATCTTCTAACAATATTTCTCACACTGTACCGCGATAAGTCTAACAAAGTTGCAATTTCTGAGTTTGATTTCCCAGAATTAAAATTTAATTATCAGTGACCGAATTTTCTCACTAATAACATTTCCTCTACCCATTTTGAAAACCTCAACTACCCAAAACTATTTGAAACGTATTCTGACAGCTGAGTTAAATAAAAACAACTGTCATGGCTTTTATTTTTCACAGCCACCTATGCGTTATAGACTTATTTTGCATTGAAATGAAAATAGGTTGATATGCTGTAATTGCAACATGTGTTATTTTTATGCTGCAAATTTGATTAGTGATAAAGTTGGTTTTTTCTACTATATATATCAAAATATTCATTGTTAATATTTTAAACCTATAACACCCTGCTACATTTTTATTATTTGTGTTTGATAAGGAAAAAACTAAGATTTCAATAGTTGGGCCAACTGAAGTGGGAAGGGGCTCGTAGATGTCTCACCACTTAAATGGACTATCCATCTAGCAGTCGGAATATCATGTATTCACATAGCACACCAGGGTGCGACATCTGCGCATTTCGCGAAACATCGAGGGATGACGGGCTGGTAGCATCGAGATCTTTCGTCATCTTCCATAATATGAGATGAGGGTGAAGATCAACTTGGTAAACTATTGGTAGGTGGAGGTGGTCAGACTTTTCGCCTGCCTCCGCACAGTATTTTGAGCTTTCCAAACGTCTGTATCCACTTGTTCGCTTTTCGTTCATCTGTCTCCAGGACTGCTGGACCTATACCGCACTGACAAGTTGCTAATGGGTTTAAAACAGCGCTATCTACAGTTGACCGTGGTCACAGAGACGGAAAATAAACATGTCCATTTCAAGGTTTGAAGTCTGAAAATTTTGAATATTCTGAAAGCCTTTAAAATTCCGAACGTGCATGTTTTGAGTGCTTTGGAGATGTTGAAGCGTTTGAAGGTTGTGAAAATTTTCAAAATTTTGGAACTTCTGAAAATTATAAAAATTGGGCAGCATTAATAATGTCAAAAACGTACAAATTTTGCAAATAAGCCATATTTTATCAATCTGTGACGACTACTGGGAAAAGTGTATGTTGAATACTGCCTTGAATGTTTGTTGAAGCGTTATTGTCGGTTGAAAATTCAAACAGCATTCAGGCTTCAGGAAGCGTCTAAAAATGTGACCCTTATCCTGAGGTCAGAGTAAAAATATAGTTGTCTGGAGCCACCCATTCATCTCTGAACCAAACTGTCATCATATCAGACTCAGGAATCGCGACACCACCGGACTAAGTGGACTGCATATTCGGTTTGAGATATCCAAAGAATGTATTGTAGGCGGAGCTAGGACCACACTTTAAGCTAACAGATTTTTGTCACATGGACTAGAATGCTGCTCCCAGATACTAAAACCTGTGCGGTGTGGATACACATTACTATACTGCACAGTTCCTCACAGGACATTGTAGTTTTGATAGCTACCTGGAGAGGCTAGGAAAGAGAGAGTAAGCGAACGGCGAATATTGCAATAAAGAGACCGCTGAAATTGACGCTCGCGACTGGCTCACTGCTGACAATTTTGCTACGCATGTAAGCAGGTGAAAAGGGTCTATATTAAACCAATAGTACGAATGTATGTATGTATATCTTCGATGGATACGTTTGGTATGAAAAACTAGCGCAACGCTACTAACTATGAAGAAATGCTGCAAGCATTATCGCCGTGGGATGTATGGTGAACGATTGAGGAGATTCTGTAGAATCTCGTGATTCGGGCAGCAAGGGCTGACGGAGCAATACTGTCGTGCTATTTTGCCCGAGTATGCATATAAACTCTTTCCCTGTCTAAAAAAAAATATTTATGTAATTTTTCCAAAGCTTTCGAAACTTTACACTATAATTTTCTATTTCATAATGTGCATTCCAGTATAAGTATATCGCTACATGCCTTTATGAAATTTGGTCGATATACTTCAACCAAATTTAATCTTATTTACTCAATTTGTGTCTGGAGTAATAGACGCTAACGGTCAAGTAATGCTATGTTACGTCGATTTTAGTATGGCCTTCAACAACTTGATCACATGATCTCACTTAACAAAATTAGAGAATGCTGGATGATCCCCTAGCTGCCTGTAAAGGCGGATTTACACGCTACGTCCTATTGTGCGTTTTGTAGAGCATACAAAACGTACGACAAAACGTACGCTTTGTCCAGTGTATACACACTACGTGTTTTCCCTTCCACTTTCTACTACAGTTGCAATCTATACTCTTGAGTTGTGTGAAGTCAGCTTAGTTAAATTTTTTTAGAGACATTTTTTTATTGTGAAGGAAAGACGGCTGCTTTTTTATTTTTTCAACTTCAAGGACAGGACGACAGAGAGGAAAAGGGATGAAGAGGGAAAAGACAAGATGTTCAAGGGAATGGATTCTGAAAAGAAGCTAGTGTTCCCACGTTCCGTTATTGAAACAACTGAGGACCGAACCTGATTACTGGCGCACTTATTTGCGAATGAACACCTAAGCCTATTGTGAATTGTTAGAGTTAGTAACAGAGATTTATGATGCCCTCACTTTTTTCAACACTCTTTTGTAAACCGATCTCAACGAGTTTATTTTTTTTTGTAACAGTCTCTTCATTTTCCATCGGGTCTATTTCTTTGTTTTTTTTTATAAGATCCTCATACGCGACGTTTTTTCTATTGCGGTCACTATATTTTTCACTTGCCACAAGCACGGAAACTTATACATTTCAATGAATTCCCCGAGAAAATCGTGGGTCCACTGCTGTAAGTCTGACATTAATTGTTTTTTTTTTGCGAAAAAGGAAACTAACTGAAGTGGAGTTACTCGTGAACTGAGCCAAGATCGGACGTCTTGTCTGAACATGAGTCTACACGTTTCGTTTTGTCCTATCAGTTCTCGCAAAATGATTCTAATAACACGTAGCGTGTAAACCTGCTTGTAGTAGGCAATATACTGAGTACGAGGGAATTAAATCTAGGGACATGTTCCCAACTCCAGGACTCATGATTATTTCCTGCTTTTCATCATGATTATTAATCACATCATTAATAATATCGATTTTTGTCATTTGATTTATGCACATGCCATAAAATTGTATTGCATCGACAAAAGGAGTGAGAATTGTACCCGTGTGATGACATCGATTAGGTACTTGATTGTAGTGGTATAGACTCTTTATCCTACATCGGTAAAAGCACTATACATATACAAACACAAGAAAGAGGGCTCCAGTTTAATTCAATTATAGAGTTGACAATTAACTTATGCAGAGGGTATGAGAATTTTCAGTAAAGTCTGGAACAACTAACAAGGGTTGACAAGTAGAACGACTGGATGTCTTTATTGAATCTGGTATTTTAATTTCTAGTCTATTGCTAAAACGAGTAATATTTCTAGTCCTAATTTTAGTCAATGCATGTATTCTATGACCAGTTACTTGAGCTAGTAAAGTTAATAGCTGACAGGTCAATTGGGGCAGCGGTACCTCAGGTAGAGGGTACATTTTTGCTAAATAGTCCAGAACTAAGGAAGGGTCCCATGTTATCTGGTATTTAGGTTGCGGACGTTTCTGTTCATATATTTCTTCCAAAAACCGCCTAAAAAAATTCTTGTCTTTATCTTCCATCGAAAAAACAAAGGATAAGGCAGAATATTGAGAATTTAGAGTAGAGTATGACGCTCCTGCATTATATTGTTCTGTTAAAAATAAAATCAGCGTATCTAACGAATACGTATAAGGCGATTTTGATTGTGACATGCAAAAGCCCCACCACCTACGGTAGTAGCTTTTGTATTGGGAATAAGGCAAGGCAGATGTGAGGTCGTCCGAATGTCAAAAAATCACGTGGTATGGGTACCCGCCTAACGTCTGTGAGGTACTAGCAGGTGACAGGTCTTATGTCAATTTCATTTAAAAAACAGGCATCTCAATTGAAAATTTGTCTTCACAGTGCCGAAAATTGAGTTAAATTATTAAATCATAAATGGAGGACCACGTCCACCTGATTTTAAATGACGAGGGAGAAGGTAATCGAAAATATATGAACCGCACTTGTCATATCAATTGATGGATTTTAAACAAGGCACCTAAGTTTATCAAGGAGCTTAAAGCAAACTTTTTGCGCAACATGCGCCATCTAACCACTCCCGATGTAACTTGAAACTGTCAAAACTTCGCGAGGAAGGGGAAATTCCATCTGTTCCCGCTCCGGGTCACTACGGGATCTCGCGAAAAAATCTCTAATAATAAAGTTTCATCAGGTTGAAAAACTAGAGGCTTAGTTATCAATAACCTTTGATATAAAGCGTACCACGGTTGAGTATCCCATCGAGGAACTACTAAATTTCCTTCTGCTTTCTCGTCAATTATTTTTTGTAAACATTTAGTAAGTAAGCAAAAAAGGTGGAAGCGTAAAAAATCTTTTTCCCATGAAAAAGTAAACGCATCTACTGTTAAGGAATTGTTAAGGAATTTTTGCGAAAATGTAGGAAGCAGTACTGAGTCCAAAAATATGCGTCCTTGAGGTCTATCGTGGTGAAAAAACAATCTTTATAAATTAAGTGTAATACTGTCCTATAATCCTCTATTTTGAAATGGGAGACCTTCAAGAAGGTATTTAATTTTTTTAGATTCAAGACAAGTCATAGAACTGCCGATTGGTTTAGGTACGAGAAAATATGTGCAATAAACTGATTAACTTGTGGGCCTGTAGCGGAGGTTGCTCCTGTAGAGATCAGTTTAGATAAACTGTCTTACAATTCTTTTGAGTTAGTTGTGTTTCGCCTCCTCCTCCCTTTTGTATCGAGGTTTAAACGAACCTTGGCGATAGTGAAAATAACTGTGAACCTCGTCGTGAAGATCCAGCAATCTGTCTGGATGATGAAGGGAGACGAGACGAAGTGGAAGCTGTGGTCAATCTTAGGTTTCTTTTTAATAGACGCGCCAAACTTCTTTGCTTCAGAAGAGCATTTTAGTTTTTCTGTTATCTGTATTCTGTATATCCTTAACGGAGTCATCTAAATATGGAACAATTAAATAGCTTCTATGCTTTGAGGGAGAATAGAAAGCATCGGCCACAAGCTTCATTGGATCCCCGAATTTTTCCAACTCCTCGTGAGTAGATGGTGGCGTGTCGGATTTCTTAAGTTCTTCATAAATGGTATTTGAAGGAACAGCTAAGGCACTTATAGCTGCTGCTAATTGACCCTGCAGTTTTGATAGACACATATCGTGCCTCAATACTGCCTGTGTTAAACAAGATTTAATTTCAGGATTTATCTCTGGTGGTTTCAGAGCCTCACAACCTTTTTAAAATAGGATATTGTTCCAGGGTAGTTTTTCGTCCATCTGCATCCAAGCCCTTTGACAGGAAAACTGATAGCAAGTCTAAAATATCGGAATGCACCTCTGGCCCTAAATTGTCCGATGTCTTCTTTTCTAGCAGGGCCAATAAACCATTAGGAGGTTGCACCCGATTCGCTTTTGAAAGGTCGGCAATGGGACAGGTCATTTCGTCGTCACTAAACTGTATCCATCGAAGAAACAAAGTAAAATCAAACATATACACCCGTATTGCACGTGATCAAGAACTTAACCGTAGGAGACGCTACAGGGCCGCATCAAGCTATTGTGACTGATCTATCAAAAAATGTCGTACAAGATATGTGTTGCTGTAAATTCTATCAAAAGCATAGTAAATTATCAGGAATATACCACGCCTTTCTAATCATATTTCGACATTAGGAATCAGTGCAAAAAATTCTGTATTCACCATTTCAGCAAAATGTTACTAAAACGCACACGAGAAAAACTTGTGGACCATCTCAATTGAAATTGTTCATAATTTATTATTAACTTACATATATACCCAATAATATTTACAAATCAACCTTCTATTCACAATGCAGAGCAAATTTTTTTGAGCAAATAGAAACTACAGACGTAGTAGTACAAAAGTTTATTACAGACTCCATAAAGTTAGTTTGATTGCTATTAAAATTTACATGAGAAATAGGAAGAAGGTCAAAATGGCACTATTATGCTTTGGAACTCCTAAATTGACCCTAATTTTGTGTAATTATAAATTTGGAATTTCCACATTAATAACTAGAAACTTACACTTTGATTGCGGTCTATAATGAACTTACCTGTCTTGCCAAAAAGCCCGTTAAACTGCCAGTCTTAATGGTATCAATCGATTTATATGCTGTATTCCGAGGAGCTTGAATCATCAGAATTGTTGATGTCAATTATAAGGGGTTCAACTTGGGTGTCAATGATATTGTCCATATCCCACATTTTGGTTTCAACCTTCTCTTGGACATGGTCAATACATGTTCTCCATTTTGCTGGCGTAATTCTATCGACAGCAACATCAAACAGTTTTTTAAGGTCAGAAAACTTAAAAGTGCTGTTATTTGACGCCACGTATTGCTTGATGTCGGCCCAAATCAACTCGATAGAATTCAGTTCGCAGTGATAGGGAGGCAGCCTGAGAATCGTTTTATTTTGGTTTTTGGCCATTTCGTCAACAATTTTTAAATCATATTTATACTTATGTCGCTTGACTATATTTATCAGTTCAGCTTTGACCATTGTTTGGTCGAAGTCGATCTTCTTTGAGACAAGCCACTGTTGAATGTCTGCCTTTTTGGTGGCCATTGTTGGAATTTTTTCCAATTTTCTGGAGTGGTACGGGGCATTTTCCATCACAATAATTGCGTTATCATCAAGTGTCGGCAAAAATTTTTTGAACCAATTTTCAAATGAGTTACCATCCATTTCTTCGTGATAGTCTCCAGTTTTTTTGGATTCAAATGCCCACAATGCTTCAGGAACAAATCCATCTACGCTACCTATGTGGCAAATGATCAGGCGTTTTCCCTTGCCTGAAAGTAATTAGTTATTTTACTTCTCAGCGAGCGCATTAAATGACGAAATTAAGCAACTTACTCTTTTTAGGTTAGTGTAGGATAGGGTCTTAGATTAGTTTTTGGGTGAAGGAAATACTCAGAAACTTGGATGAGATAGCAAAACTGAGTTCGGAGCTTCCAAATCATTGATTCGATCAGAAAATGAATTATCTGCATCCAAAAAAGTTCATATACTTCGAAACTTACCTGCAGGATTTTTCAATCCCGTCGAAAGGCCATCTAAAAAAGCCTGCCTTGAGGACCTCACAGATCTGTCTACCCAAACCTTTCCCTGCGTATGCCCCGCGTTCACCCATGTTTCGTCTAAATAATAAATTTTTCTTCCTTCAGCGCGGAATTGCCTAATTTTTCTAATGTATTCTCTCCTCCAGATAACAATTTCCTCCTTTTCTATCAATAAACTATTCCTTCCTCTTTTCAAAAATCGAAAGTCTAGTTCTTTCAACAGCTTATGGAACGTAGATCTTTTAAAGTTTGGCAGGTCCTCATCATCATTCACTTGCTTCAATATTTTATCTATTGTAGGTATTTCATTCCTGAAGAAAAAGTGATGTACTTTTCTTCTAATGGCACTTTTGTCAAAGTCATCTATTTTTTCGATGATTTTTTTTCTCGCTGGATATGTTTTTGGCTCAGATAGTGAGTGATTTTGTCTATATTCCTTCAAGATTTTGTAAACACTTGATCGACCTACTCCAGAAATTTCAGCAACCTTACATACGATATTTTCTATAGCCAATCCACTATTCTCTTGCATCTGGTTCTTGTAGATATTTAGAATAATTTGTTTTTCACCTGCGCTAAGATGAAGCTTTTTAGCCCTTTTGCTGGGTGGCGTTAAGCTGATTTCAACCACTTCATCAGCTGTATCTGTGTCAGACATTTTAGACTAATATTAAATTTCCGCAAGAAAAATCAAGTCAAGACGAGCATAAAACGTTCGCGCTCATAAACGGATATCCGTAACTGATTACAATCCTGTGCGTGGTGACGAACCATCAACGTGACGCTGAGAGTTCCCTCTACTATGCAGCGTTGCCAGGCTTAATGTCACAATGATCATGTTTTATTGGGAAAATTGTCAGAAATCGCCGAATGTTGAACAGAAACATTACAAGAAGTCTAACCTTGAAATGTGAGGCTACAAATCGATATTCTTATAGGGGGGAAGGGTAGGCAGCTGTTATGGTTCCAATTAACCTTGGTGAAAGTTGGAAACGGTAATATCATATATGGCATACATTCGGTTGAAGGTGTGTGCACGGAAAATAGATTGCGGATAGGATTTTAATAGATAAATCTGCACAAAAAAACACAAAAGCAGATTTTTGTATTTCCCTGAAGAATATCTCAAGGTTATTTCAGATGTACTCATCGAAACCTTATGGAAGGATTATCGAAATCTTATTTTCAATTGCGATAGGGTCACATACCTCGACATCGCATTAATGTGAAAAATAAGACAATAGAAAAAAATTCCCTCACTGATGCTATCTCTTAGGAAAAATTTAACTATAAAGATTGCACAAAAATTTTCTTCACCTTTTTGAGCTTGTTTTCGCATCTCCGTATATGCCGTTCATTATTTGCTGCAGATCAAATTGGAGTACACCTTTGTGATGCCATTTATTGTTATATAATGTCCTTTACAACAGTTATTGCACGTATTGCACCAACAGATTGATTTGTGATCCATGCGAATGTGATCAACCACTCTGGAGAAAACTCGCCGAGCGTGGCAACCGTGCGACTTTGTCTGGAGGCTCGTCGCTACAAGCCAATCAGGAAGTGGCCGACAGAGCGCCATGGCTACCGATCACGCGTTGATCACGAATCAACCACTGTTTACGATTACTTTGTAGCTTCATTAGATACACTTTAGGTTGGGGCCCGTCACAAATCTCCGAGACGCCTATGGACACATAAATTCGTCACGTTTGCTGAGTAACAAAAAACGTAAGATGAGGCGAGATGTTTATCAACAAGCGATAACACATGCTCGGGTGGAACTGCACAAAATACATATGTATATTCCAGTGGGAATAATAAGAAATCAAAATACCAGTAGGCAAATTGATTTCATGCAAATATTGTATATTTGCAGCAGTTCGTTACTTCCAAATGTTGCGAACAAAGAGATTATTAAAAAACACTATCCACTTACTTGAGTTTTCCAAAAGATCCTGCAATAATTCTTGTATCTTTCTCTTCTTAGATTTACGATTTTCCGACATTATTCACCACTTTTACGTGCAAAGGAAAAATCCGTCCTCACAGAGCACACGAAAAAATTGTAATGAATGGTGACGAGTGTTCGGACGGCAGGAAATCGGAGACCCAGTGGCGGAGAGAATTTGCTTTAAAATTCGTGCTTCAGGGCTCAGAAAAAATTTTAATTATTGTAATTTGAGAACGGCAATACGAAATATAACGCAGAACCACCTATAGAAGTAAATAACACTCCTTTCTATTTCTGTACAACACAATTCATGGCATTTACGATTGCCCAGCTTTCAAATTACAATTCAATACGCCATATTTTACGTCGATGGTAGAAAAATAAAATTTGATCGAGCTTCCTTTCTTCGACATTTTACAGGATCCTGGTCGTTTTTGAACAATTTTTAGGCTTAAAAAATTTTGGGCTAGGAGACGGTGCATATTTCAGTCATCGTTGATGTCTCCGTATATTTATTATTGAAACTTAGAATAATGGTAAATTATTTACGACCCTCGCGTGTCGATACTAACGGGGTCTGCCCGATACATGTCTATAGCAGTCGTACGCAGCTGTGGATGTGGACAGTCGGTCGTCGTCCAGGGCGAGATGTACTCATATTTTCGATCACGTGCGCCTGGAGGAATTTTTCTCAGGGGAAGGGAAAGGGCCATCCTTCGACAATGCATAACCTTGTGTGAAAGCATACGTGCCTCCAAAACTTATTGAAGAACGAGGACAGCATGTCTTTTCAGATTACCTAATCCTAAATAGCCCCAAAAGTGTACAGGAAATCATGCTGATTGAAAGATAAAACGTTGAGACACATCCAGAGATTTGTCAAGTGGGACAACCTTTTAACCAAAAATACTTCACACCCTTTCACTGTCTGCTCCCAGGGGTATGCCCTTAAAAATTGTAAATGACAAGGGGTGTTGAGTAATAGCTTGTTTCAAAGGTCTTTCGCAGTCCTTTATTTTGACGTTTGATTTTTCGATTTAAAGAAATTAGAAAAATCTCTATTTATCCAAATTTGTTCAGATAGAAAACAAAAACACACGGAAATATCACTTTTTATTTCAATAAGTGTTCAAAATGTTGCCCGTTATTGGCCGTACAATGATATAGGCGATGTTCAAATTCCTGACGAACATTTTCAAAAACATGTTGTGGAATATCATGGCAGCTTTCGGTGATGCGTTGACGAAGTTCGTCCAAACTTTCAGGTTGGAGAGCGAACACAATCTTTCAAATGGCCCCATAGAAAAAAGTCTTATGGCGTCTAATCAGGAGATCTAGCAGGCCATTCTGTAGGCGCTCTTCGTTATATCGATTTATCGGGAAACTGGTCGACTAGCCATTGCCGAACCGGAAGAACATAGTGAGGACAAGCGTCGTCTTGCTGGAAATATATTTCCTCCTCATAAAGTTTTGGGTTTTCATCCTCTTCGATTTGGTTTTCAATGGTTTCATGTGATAAGCGTATTGATGGTATTTTCCAATATATCCAAGTTAATGTCGCCATTCAAATTTCAATTAACAGACAATGGCCCAATCACTTCGTTTCCTAAAAAAATGAGGATTTTCATTGCTCCAGGTCCTGCAGTTATGCTTATCAACAAATCCATTTAAAAAAAACTGTGCATTCATCACTGAAGCAGATATTCTTTACATGAATCATAAATCGCTGTAGTCATTTGTTCACAAAACTCAACTCGCCTATCGAAATCATCTTCGGTTAGCTCTTAAAATATTTTCATTTTGAATGGATAACATGTATGGAGTTAAGTAACTGCATGTACAGAGCCTAATAAGATACCAGTTGCAGCAACAATTTTGCGTAATGTAAAGTATTAGGATTTATTCCAAAATGACCGAAAACTTCAACTGGAGCGGCTTCATCCAAATCTCTCCGACGATCACGTTTTGTATTTGCAACAGATCCAGCTTGAGTAAATCTAGTAACAAGGTCCACAACATACCTATGCGAAGTTATCTTCTCCGGATGTCTGGCGTTTTTGGTCACCATAACTTAGAATCATTTCCACTCCTTCGGCTAGTGTGTAAACCATTTTGTAAGTAAAATCTGAACCAATAAATTGATTTTCACTGTCCCAAGATTGTCACAAAGGTAACTTATAGCAAAATATATTCTTTATTTCCCTTAGCAACAAATAACTAAACCGGTATAACAGTAAATACAGTTCGCCCAGAATATCTGTGTCAATGAAAGTAATTCGGAAAAAAATTCGGGTTGTTATTTGGTTGTTTGCCATGTCTAATCTTCAGAATTGCTGTTTATGCTGGTACTTTCCGCTTTAGATTATTGTAAATGAATTGCAGGTTTGGCAAACCCTAACGGACAACATTTTGAACACTCATTGAAATAATATAAGCGATATTTTCGTGTTTTCATGTTCTATCTGAAGAAATTAAGGTAAATAGAATTTTCCAAATTTCTCGAAAACGAATTGACTGATTTTAAAAAATCAAAGGTCAGAATAAATTACTTCTGAAACAAGCTGTCACTCGACACTCCTTCATTTTGAGTTACGTTTTTTAAGGAAATGACCCTGGGGGCCGATGGTGAAAGGAGGTGAAGTAGTTTCTGAATAAAGAGTTGTCCCTCTGGACAAATCTTTTGACATGTCTCGGCGTTTTTGTTTTATTCAGTGGTTTTCGATAAATCCGTGTTGGGAAGTTATCAAATGAACACGCTGTATGTTATTAAAAAACATTCGTGTTGTTACCTGACCTGTTCATTCTTTAAAGGAAAGTCCCAACTTTGAGCACACCGTGTATAATTGAACTCGCATTTTACCAGTAAGAGGACGAAAACTTGCAACACTAACTCAAAAGCATAAGACGAAGGAGCTTTATCATCGTTTCAAGTTTTAGAAGTGAAATGCGGGATATTTCCAATCGAAAAGAATATTTTTCATAGTTTAGCTCGTTTTATCTAGCGTTTCAAAAAAATGTTTTTTTCAATTATTCTTTCATGCATACACAGAATAGTTTGGAAAGGCGAATGGCAATAAAAGTCAATATAATGGTTATGTTCAAATATAGTGCGACAAGCTTGTGTTCTGCACCACCAGTAACCAATCGGCATGCGGCATAAAATCCTAGAACAAGTTGCCCGGAACCAGAATCGGTCTGGAATAGTTCCTTCTGGAATCCGAATAAGACTAGTACGTTACCTTCTAGAAATCAACTGAATGCAAATGATACAGTGTTCCGCTACAGAAGTAAGAAATGCAGAAAAGAAGTCTTGACTAATGGTGAAAAAACATCCTGCTCTAAACTTTGGCTGTAACCTCGTACTTATAAATAAAAAATCATCCAGTTCCTCTATCAAACAATGATCTGTGGTGTCAACTTGAAGCAGGTAGCAGATGGTTGTTAAATTCTTGTTCTTCTCTGCCACTTTGTTGCAATGCCTCACAACTGCCATACATGTGAGCTAAAACGAAAGAATAAAGTTGACTACGAATTCGGTTATTAGTTTATTCGTTTGATATTAAATCGGAAATAGTCAAGCACGCGGTTTCATTGAACAGTTTTGCTACGTTGGAACCGTTGGCACATGCTACTGTTGCTAATTCAAAACCCTTCATCAGGTACGTTTTGTCGGAAGTGTTGTTTTACTGACCAATGAGCGCGTTCAGCCACTGTAAACCGGCCCAGCTGCGCATCGCTTTTATGGTGAATAACATTAGTAACTTTATCAGTTTGACAACTGTTTTCACTTTGCTGTCAGATTCTATAGTTTGTGAATTGAACGCTCGAAACCATAAAATCTTACTGCTGAAACCGCTGCATCTCTGTAGCGAGCAACATTGGCTAAACACACTAAGTGTCGATTTCACAATCTAAAAAACTATTATTTTCCATCAATAGTGTACGAGTACCAACAGACCGTCAAATATACCCAATCAGCCTCAAGATCTCTCCGTCAGCAAATAGCATAAAAGTATTCAAAACAAAACACTGTAAAATATGAAGCTTGTCATTGAAATGTTATCAGTTTATTAAATATTTGAAATTATATAAAATTGAGCTAAACTTTTTAAAAAACGCTTGATGTCTGCGTAAAATCCACTTTTTTTCTGTTTAACTGAAGGTTTCTCCGTGTTTATTGCAACTTTTGTAATCCATATATAATAATAAAAACTTAACATCACCTACCGTCTGCTTATAGTTTATCATACATTTGCAAACTTGCACTGCCAAACCCTTACATGAAAAAGTCTTTTAACTCAAGTTTTTGTTAGGTGTTGCGTTGCAACACATTTATACACTACTTTCCATTTCGTCAACGATATTTTGCACCACTGGTCCGAAACTGTTCAAGATTTTCAACATTGATACATACAATTCCAGTTGCAGCTTTTGTTTTGATTTCAGTTTATAATCAGTCACACCATCGGTGATGGTATATGGTACAACCACGTATTTGGGGGTGATTGCCGATTTAACGTATACACGATAGTGTAATATGTAATTCTGCACAAAGAAATTTTTGGAATTAGCTCTTTTTATACAGAAATTTGTTCTTCCAAAGTTCCATTTCCCAAAAATCTCTGGACGTCAAATAACACAACAAGTGACAACAAAACATAGACTACAGTAACGTTGGAGAAGAAGAATAGGCCACAGAAGACCGGTATTTCGCCACCTGCGACGTGTATAGTATGGTCACATCGTGGTTGACTGATTTTGAAGTATATTAACATGTGAATCATACAGTAAGAGCTCAAAAATTTTACTACAGTGAAAAAAAATTAAAAAGATATAAAAACTCGGTTTTGAATATACAATGCGTTTGGTCACGACATTCCGATATTTAAGGGGGGTATTCTTCAGCTATTTTTACCGACAAATCCACCCCCCTACAATGTCCTACCTCACCCCTCTTGAAATGGTATCCATTTTTGTTTTTACGTTACGATTACGCTAGTGCATGTATGAAAATTGTAATAACTGAGTACATAAGTGTCACAGAACGATGAATGTGGTGTCAATTGAACAATCGCATGTTGTCCTAGCGATTGTTGACAAACTTGTATTGATACTAACCGTCAAACATACTTAAAAACAGACAAAACCTGAAAAAAATATGGAAAAAAATTGATTATTT